TCAAACAACCTTATGAGGTAAGTAGTATTACCATCTCCATGTTAGAAGCTAAAACTGATGTGCAGAGGGGTTAAGACACTCAGCAGGGTCACACCGAGCAGGTGAATAGCAGAGGTAGAAATGATCATCCTCAGGCAGTTTGACGCCACAGTCCATGACATTGCCTATGGTTCCTTCCCTACTGTCCTGGGGGAAGGACAGCTGGACCCCAGGCAGGCTTCCGCAGCATTTGCTGCCTGAAGAGTAAGAAAAATAGCCTGGAGTGGTCACCCTCGTGGACCAGGTCACTCTGCAACTTCACAGCAGAGCCAGGAGTTGAACCCAGGCTTCCTAACACCCAGGCTCCAGCACTTCGTCCACTTTCTGCATGGGTCCTATAAGCCTAGCTCCAGAGTTCTCAGCAACTCCCATCCCAGATCACCCAGCACAGCAGGGAAGGTCAGAGTGGGGCCCAAAGAAGGGGCGGAAGTCCCCACTGGCGACAAAGAAGCCAGAGGGGAGAGTGGAGAATCCTCCCAGAGCTGCCCACCTGGTGATCGCCAGGGATACTGTTAGGGGTGGGCCTCCTGGAGGGCATCTTCCCACCCCCCAGCCTAAACCCACGTCTCACAGGGCAGGAGCACCTTCCGCGAATAACTGCTGACTTGAAGGTGCCTTTGCTGGCTGAGTCAGGGCTCACTAAGGGCCAGAGAGGCCCCTCCCCAAGCTGGGGCTGGAGGAAGTCGGGTTCTTCCCCTCTCAGGAGGGGAAAGGCCAGGTCTCACAGGGGAAGTCAAAGCCTGGACTGAAGCCATCCCAGGCCAGCCAGATCATTCCCACTTCCCTGGACCCCAGTTCCAGGCATGAGCAGGTAGGCCTGAAGGGCAAGGTGAGGGCATCCAGCCCCTGCTTCCTGGCTCTGCTTTTGTCACGAAGTCATTGAGGATCTGGCTCCGAGCTGGGTCCTACTGGGCCACCCTGAGGAGAATCACTTATTCATTCAACCATCATTTCCTGAACACTTGCTGTGGGCCAGGGCTTGTGCCAGGAGTCAGGATACAGAGATGGACAGAGCAGTCCCTGGCTGGCAGGATTCAGAGAGACACTCCATATGCCACAAACAGCAGCAAAGAGGCAAGTGCTCGGTGTAGACAGCACAGAGGAAAGAGAGGAAGGGAAAGGAGGGGGTTTGGAGAAAGTCTGCCTTTGACATACAAACCAACTTCCCCTCAGGAAGCTTAGAGTCACCCTGGGGAGACCCAGCCACCCCCAGGAAGAGGACCACATGGGCGGAAATGACTAGTGTCTTGGGGCATACGCACACTTACGCTGAAGAGGCACAGAGGGCCCAGACAGAAGGTTCCTGGAGGCCTGAGCAGCAGCCTGGTACAAGCCTTGAAAGACTGGCTAGATGCAGAAAATAATATTCATGGCAGCAGCTCTCATTTACGGACGGTTCACCATGCGTAGATGTAAAATTGCTAAGTAAGTGCTTCGCATGCACTTTTTTGTTTTAACCTCATGGGACCATGTCACTGTGTGAAGTAGTTACCATTATTATCCCCAATTTATAGATTATGAAACTGAGGCTCAGAAAGGGGCACATAGCTGAGAATGGGCAGGGGCAAGATTTCTGCTCCAAGTCCAACTCTTGACCCCATACTGTACCATTTCCCTAATCTGCGGACAGGCCGAAGGTAGGTGAGGGTGCTTCAGGTAAGGGGTAGGCAAGGTTAGGAGGAGGAAACAATTATTGTATGTTTGAGAGGAGTCGCCTAGTTCCAGGGTCTCTGTATTGAGACCTTGTGGGGTATGTGTGTGTATGTGTGTACTTATATGTGCCCTGCTTTATAAATGACAGATCCCAGGTTACAGAACCCCCTGAGAGCCAAGTACAGAATAGGCCATTAGCAGAGCAGGGAAAGAAAGCCCAGAGAGGAGACAGAATTTATGAAAGGTCACACAGCCTATAAACAGAAGAGCTGAAACTAAATCTAAGAACCAGCATACAGGCCTCTTCCCTCCCCTCAGCTGCTTCTCCATGTCAGCACAGAGTGAATCAGCTGCTGACAGGAAAACCACGGTGTAGGGGGAACCCCAGGGGTGAGTCAGGAACCAGCCAGCCCCCAGACACCAGCTGGGCCCATCACAGAGGCCCTGGGCCTGTGGTTGGCCTCCTCGCAGGCAGCATCAGGGGGCGAGGGGAAGAGGGAAGCAGGCATAGCATGCCGCTCAGCCCATGTTTACCTCTGGGCTTCCCTCCTGCTCCCCAGACCCAGGCTTAGAGGAGGGAAGCGGGTGGGCAGGGCAGTTCCTGCTGAGATTAAACCGGCGCCCCGACTCCTAGCCCCGGCCTGTCCCACAGAGGGGCCCAGGCTCGTCCCTCTTGCCCGCCTCTCACAGAGCCAACTCCTGACTGTTGTTTCTCCTGGTGAAATCATAGCTGCCCCTTGAGCTTCCCATGGGGTGGAGGAAGTGGGTTTAAAGGTGTGGAGTAGGGGGTTAAGGCCAAGCCAAAACCAGGGGGTGCCAGCTGGCCCCAGATGCTCCAAATTGAAAGGGATGCTCAGGGCTTGGGGTCACTCAGCCTTGTGCCGGGAAGGGGCTGTCTGGTCCTCAAGGGGTAGCAGGGGCTGGGTCCCCAGGGTTGGTAGGAATTGGGGGAGAGGAGCTTCCAGGCAATGGTTCAAAAGTCTGAAGTCTCAAGAGAGAGGGGACTGCCCCACATTGTAGAAACTTCAGAGGAGCCCGGGAGGAGCCAAAAATCTGCCCGTACCCATGTGGGAAACTTGTGCCCCTACTGGTTAACCTCTTATCCTGGCCCTCCTTGGGCTGGGACTAAGAGGGGAGAGCTCCAAGTCCTTCTTCCCAGCAACCCTGCTCTCCAATCACACCCCTCTCCCAGGCCCTCGACTGGCTCAGGTTCCCTCCATTTGGCCCAGATGCCTCCCTGTCCTGGGTGAAAAACAGAGCCTTCTGGGTGGCTCCCTCACTATCACTCTGTAGCACTCATCACCCTCCCCAGCACCCACATCCACCCAATCCAGCCATCTTCCTGAGCACCTGCTATGTACCAGGGTCTAGGCTGGGTGAGGGATAGGAAGAAACATGGGGCACACACTGGGACACTTGCTACATTGCCCTTCCAACAGTGCCTTTCCTATCCCCCAGCTGTAGACAATCCCAAAGCCCCCCAGAGCCTTCTGTCCCCATCACCACAGCCATCGGCTCCTTATCCCTTGCTCACTGGGTCCTGCACCCCAGTGCATCTGGCAGACTGTCCTTCTTAAAGTGGCACTCTGATTACGTCACCCCACTGCTCAAAAACCTTCGGTGGCCCTCACTTTCTTCAGATCCAATCCAAACATCTCACGTTCAAGGTCCTCCACGAGTTGATCCAACCTACCATTCCCCCTTCACATCCCTGCACAATCCCAACTCTTCAGCCAGACTGATCATTCTAGCAGTTTCTTAAAAATTTCCTGAGCATGCTGACCACCTTGTCTTCCCCTAGGCATCTTCCTCTGACTAAAACGCTATCTTTGCTGTGGCTGCTGAAACCCTCCCAATCCTTCAGGTCCACCCAAAACTCCATCTCCTGCATGAAGCTTTCTTGAAGATTCCTCTGACCCTTTCTTCATTTATCTCCTATAAATGTCGCTGCCCCCCCCAAGTCCCTTACCACATGGTAAGCAACTAAGAATGGGGTCAGTACGTCATCATCTATCATTCATCATGTGGGGAGGAGGGGTGGTGGGAGGACTTTCTACTAGATGTTTACTAAGCACTGTTTGAAATGAACATCTCCTCCCTGCACAAGCAACACATACTGACCTCTCTCCCTCCAGACCAAACTCTAATCTTAAGCCACTCAAATACTTGGAGAGGGGAGTCGGTGGCCCCGAGTTGATTCAAGCCCAACCAGGACTTGGGATCCCAGGCAGAAAGTCCTGTTCAAGTCTCACCAACTCCAGGAAGCCCCTTTACCCCCAACCCTGGTTTCTCCAGAGTCTCACTTCTCCTGAGCACTGTCTCTCCCACACATACACACACTGTCTCCTCCACACAGTACAACCTCCAATCAGACCCTGTCTGTTAGTAATTTCCAGCAGGTTCCAAAGTGTAGGGCTCATCTCCCCAGGAGATACAGGGAGCCAGCTGTCTTCGGTGCCCAACCGTGATCAAACAGATAACAGGTATCCACACTGCCCCTGACTTCTACCCCAAGCCAAGCATGCAATGCAGGAGCTGGATTCTGGCCACCAGGCCAGTACAAACCCATGAAATCTATCTGGACTTGAGCCCTGGCCATGAGTTATCCTCTCCAGCAGGGGCATAGTAGGGCTGGGAGCCTCACATTTAGCAACTCAAAATGAGGGCAAAAACCAGGAATGGCTAGTTGACGTCTGTATACCCTAGCTCCATCTAATATACAGTGCTAAGTAAATATTTTGGGGGTTATTTAACTGGACATCTAACAACTATAAACAATATTACCAAAAATTCAGTTACTCTTTGGTCCAGATGACACACTCTTCAACCCCAAAATGGACAAAATGATACTGGTGGCAGATGGCAAGTTTTGGCTCTCACAAGTTTAGGAGGAGCTGCAGCCAGCCTCTGGCCCTCCAAAAACAGTCTCATTCCCAGGCAGGAGGCCAGCCCATCACCTGCCTATCCACATCAGAGCAGCTGTCACACAGTGAAGTCTCACTGGTGCTTGGCGCCCTGCTAAGCACTATATACACATTATTCTATTGTCCTCACTACTACCATTGAGTACTGTCACTACCCCCATTTTACAGATGAGGAAATTGAAGCTTGAAGGGGGAGTGGAATCAGAATCAATTTGGTCCCAAGTCCTTGATCACTGAACTAGGCTGCCCAGTTACCATGGCCCTGGCACAGGGCACTTGCTACCACAAGGGACAGCACCTGGACATGCAACAAGAACTCCAGGCACCGGGCTTAACTCTGGGCCCAATGGTTTGGCGGGGTTTTCCCTTTTCTTCCCCACTCACCTGGATAAGAACTTGTCCCCTAGTTTCTGCCAGGGGCCTCCCAAGCCAGCTCACCTGGAAAAGCCCTGAGAAGGGGACAAATGCCCTGCTGAGTTTCCCACCCCAAGTCATACTAGGCTCTCAGAGTTGGGGCAGGAGGAGGCTGAAATCTCCCTGACTTGGGTCCCCCCCCCCGTCCCTGCTTCCCCAGGCCCATCGATTCAAGCCCCATCTGAGGAACTAGTGTGACCTTTAAAGCAATTCGCTTCATGCTCGCAAAGTTGGCTTTGCTCACTGCCACTCTGCAGGGAGGCAAACTGTAGTCTGGGCGGAGCGATCTGAATACCTGTGGCTGAAGTGCAGTCTGCTCTCAGCTGCCAGCCTCACCTTCCGGGGTTTCAGCGAGAAAGGGCAACGGGACCATGGAGGTCACCCGGTTCACCCCCTTCCTCCTACTGGAACCCGAGAGGTCCTGAACCGGGTGGGAGGACGGGTCCAGGGTCACACATGACGGAGCCGGAGAATTGGGGATCAGGACTCAGGAACTTAAGCTCCTTCTCACCCACCAGCTGCCTTCGTGGCCCGACCTGTCACTTGTGCCGAGAAAGCTGCCCAAGCGGTCTCTGAAAGTGGGGGCGAAAACTAACTTTGCCCGTGGTTGTCCGGCAGGCCTCCCCCCGCCCCTTCTCACCTGCTGGCTCTGCTTTTCGCTTGGCGCTACAAGCCCGGCGTCGCCCGCTCGCGCCTCAGTCAGCGTCCAACTGCGCAACCCTGGGTTCAGTCACTCGATGGTCCCCCTCCCGGCGGTCGACGGGGAACGCAACGGCCGGCGCCAGGCCCCGCCCCTTCCAGAGGCCCCGCCTTGGACACGCCCCTCGGCCTCCAGACTTGGACCTCCAGCACCGCCCCCAGGTCCTGCAGGAATGTTGCCTGGCTCCCGACCCGACCAGGCTCCTCCCGCTACGGCCTCCCTTTCCTAACCCTCCAGCCCCGCCCCGG